GTGGCATTGACATACATACCACTCAATTCCTATATATTTATATATCTAACACCTATATTTCACATTTTACATTTATATCACCCAAATCTTTCATATCATATAAAAAATATCATTATTGTAACTCTTAAAAAGTGAAACAAATATTTTCATGCATGGATAAGGCGTCATATATGTATATGTAAAACTTGAAGTTTAGATGTATGTAAATACATAAGAATTGAGGGGTATGCATGCAAATTTTCCTTTTTTTGTTATAAAGTTAATATACATTTTAGTGATTTTTGTATTGATATGATACTTAATCTTTGTGGCTCCATTAATGTTTTATTTAGAAGAACAGCAAACAAATCTCCGGAAAAGGATTCATTAGACAATGATATTGATGAATTTTCTCAGTAAGTTCCTTTGGATGCTGCATATGCTTTCATAATATTTTGGTTTATTTTTTCATGTCACCTAATTTTTCGTTGGGTTTAGGAGGAAAAAATTACATCAGACTTCTCTTAGAGAACGTGCTTCTCTGCCAGAACCATTACCATTGGATTTTGTTGTGCATCCGCCATCAAAAGTAAATTGGGAAGAAGTACGTGCACGAGCTATTAGAGCAGCTATGAAAGCTAAGAAAGATAAGATGCGTCGAAAGGTTCATTTCTTTGCTTCTAACATACATTCTAGAATCTCAATTTTTTGACTGAATTATTTTACTCTTTAAAGTTACAAAATGCTTATTTTTGTTAGAAAAGATACGTGTTAGACTATTAAAATGAATTAATTGATTGAATTAAGTTATTATAATTTTGAAATCTTAGTAATCATATCATTCTTTATTGCCTTACTTTTATGAAGCTTTATAATTAAACATGCCTTCTTTTTCACTTATTATAATTAGATATTCTGAAGATTTTCTAATGATCTTGTTCTATCGGATAATAATTCATTTACATGCTTGTTCATCTTTAACCTTTTTTTTATTTATTTTTAGGGCATTTACATAGATACCTCTGAATTCCTATTTATTTACGTATCTAACCCCTAAATCTCTTATATCACAGTAAAAATACTACTTTTTAAACTTTTAAAAAATGAAATACATATTTTCATGCACAATTAAGGTGATGTATATGTAGAAATTGAAGTTTAGGTGACATGTAAGAACATAAGAATTGAATCTTCTCCTTTTTTACATTGACAATATTTATCATTTATGTTAATACCTACTCATTTATTTAATTTATTATGTCGATATACTTAAGTTTCCTTGCTTGTTTCACTCTCTTTTTACAGCGTCGACGACCATTTGATCCACTAATTGCTCAAAGGAGGCGTCCTTTGTTTAAAGTGCAATCTTCAGCGTACTAAAGAACCAAGTTTAAAAATGAGCTTTTATATTTGAAGATTTACACTTGATTGTTATACACACACACAAATGTTGACTTAGGATCATCTCTGAGGATTTTTTTGAGATCAATCTTTTTTTCCAAAATAATTTTTATATGTTTTTTTTCTCTAAAAATAATTAAGACTTTTTTAAAAACATTCAAAATATTTTTTAAATGCTTCGAGTTTTTTCAATAACAATTTTATTTTATTTTATCAAATATATTTAATTTTAAATTAAAATATAAACATAATAAAATAGAAAAAATAAAAAATAAAAATGATCCCAAATAATCTTTTAATAATTAGAAAGTATTCCTGCTACAAAAAAGTTAAAATCTGGATCCATGAGAGCTAGTTTTTCATGACTTCTTAGTTTTTCTATTTGTATTCTATAAGCTTTTTTTCAACTTTTTAAAGGTTTTTTTGTCGCATAAATTCACAAATTTTTATTAAATTTTAATATTTTTTTTGAGATTCTGGATGCTGTTTAGAGTTATTGCTGATTAGGGAGCTTTATTTTCACATTTGGTGAGCTCTTGCCTTTGTTGGGGATATTTTTTTCGTTGGTTACATTTCAAAGGGTAAACTCTTTTATCTTTGATGATTGGTTTACATTGTTGCTGCTCCCAAGTGTTCATTGTCTTATATCTAGTTGTGTTTTGACCCAATTAACGTTGTTGATTGTGTTGGTTGTCGTCCTTTCTATTTCTGTTCTCATTATTGGCTTCTTATTTATTAGGTTTTTTGTTTGTTTATCTATTGTTTAGAGTTGTAATTCGAGTTTTTGGGTGCGTTATTATTATGTAATTGAGTTGCAGTTTTTTTTTTTTATTTCATTCAATATAATTGGGCGCGACCCTCATTTTCTCCCATAATTTTTTTTCTTAATGTCATATTGCTACTCATAATAATTCACAGTCAATGCTTAATTTCGGCTATATTTCGTGCTATCCTCATAAAATTTATGTTTATTTACGATACTAACATCATTTGCATCACATATAAATGATTGCTCAAAATGTGCGATAAATGAAAGAAAAGTTCATTTACATGCATCGATGCAACACCTAATTCATAAAATAATAGCACATCTTAGATTTATTTTTATAAATATTTTATTATTTTATCATAGATTTAACCAAAAAAATAATTTTTGTGTGTAAAATGGATGTGTGTTTTGAAAATTGGTTTAACCTTACAAAATAATTCCTCTATTAGTTATATTAGAAATAGATTAGTAGTATGCTATTTTATTATATGGTTTATAATAAATATCATTATTACTTTTGCGTTTAATATAAATTAAAATTACATTATTTAATATTACTTAAATATAGTAAAAATGTCATTGAGTTTTGAAACCTATTTTGTAATGATTAAATAAAGAGCATGACGAGCTTTTTAGTTAATTTGATAAGGATAGATTTGAGTTTGGTTCGATGCTCAAGTAAAAATTTCTGTAAATATACTCATTTTATATTTCAGAATATGTTCAATTGGCAATAAGTTTGAAATCACTTTGATCTTTATTTTATTTTATTTCTTATATATTTGAAAAAAAAATATTTTTGATATGATTAAATCCATCTTCAATACATCATCAATTTTAGACATAAAATATAAATTCATTAAAAAAATATTTCTTGTTTTTAATTAAATCTATGATAAAATAATAAGATTGGTCAATTAAGGATAAGAGTATTCTAAGTTGCACCTCAAGTTAATGGAATAAGCTAAACTAAAGCAACACCTATGCTTGTTTAAGTTAAGCTAATGAAACCAAACTACGTCACCAAGCTCCACTAGATATAGATAAGATATAAGACATCAACATTGATTGATTTAAAATAAACAATGATGAGTAAGAAAAGTACACTAATGACAACTAAAAAAAATCTAAAATTAGGATTAGAGTAGTTAATTATGAAGGGATATAGATCATCAACTAAAATAGAATAAGTATAGCATAAGAGCCTAAAGTTAGTATTGGACCAAGTGGGTCCAAAAGCATGTGGATGATCACTTAGGGTTTATGTATGACAAACAAATGCAACCTAAGTTACACTAGCTATGGATACACCTAGGATCACTAAAGTACCTAAAGTCTAAAATTAGTGCGATATGAAACGCCCCATGTTTCTTAGAGTTGCATAGTGTTACAATTAATAAGGATTAAGAAGTTTATACTACTTTTAACTTGGGAAAACTAAGTTTAGACATAAGCTTTACTAATTGAAGCTAGTTTAGGTCTAATGAATTCAAAGCCATATGATATTATTCATATGGAATCAAACAACATCAAGCAAAGTTTTCCATAAATCTTCCTAATGATTGAATTTGAGAAGGTTTAATTAAAATATTTTGTGATTTTAAGAAAGATTATAATTCAAGTAAATAGTTATCAAATTTATTTTAAAATATTTTCATTTTATTTGCCTTAATTTCCTACTAGTTATGCATTTAGTTTTTTTTCCTTTTTTTTAAATTAGTTTTTTATTTTAAAATTTTACATAAATTATTAATTATTGTAATTTATTTTTACTGATCTAGTCAAATCTCTTTTTTCAGACATTGTTCTTATCACACAGTTTGTAAATGAAACTCTATAACCATGTGTAGAAATATCCATGTCTGAAAAAAGAGAGCTGACTAGATGGTTATAGAGTTTCATTTACAAGCTGTGTGACAAGAACAATGTCTGAAAATGATTAAACATCATACCATATGTAGAATTTGTAAATACTACGATGTAAATGAAAATATAGATATGAATTAAATAATCATGATATTTTTTTAATGTGATGTTAAAAATTTGGATACTATGATGTAAATGAAAATATAAATGTTCAGATGTTATGTAAATACTTGAGAATTTTGTGGAATGTTTGCAAATGCGCTTTACTCCCTCCCCTCCGAAAAGTATAAAAAGAAAAAAGGTTCATTAGCCGTTTAATTTGTGTTTCTGAATTGTTTAATTTATAGAGTAACAAAAAAAATGTCATCTATTTATACACATTTTTATATCTATTTTTGAGATATTGCGTTTTAATGGAATGTATTTGTGTGTTTTTTCTTCAGGTACAACTAAAGAGGTGAAAATGACAAAAGGAGTGAAAAAAGGATCAAATATGGAGTAAAAATGAAAAATGGTGCAAAAGTATTTTGGTGCCTAAGAGTCAGATCTGACGCTTAAGCGCCAATGAAACAGAGAAAGCCACGCCTAAGTGTCAGGGGCCCGTGCTTAAGCGTCAGTGACAGTTACTTGATGGGTTCATTCATTTTGACAAATTTTGAAGGGACATTTGAGGCACCTATTGGCTAAAGAGGGTGGTTATAATCACTAGAAACGAAAATGTGTTAAAAGACTTGTGAAAGGAGACATCCTTTAGAGAATACATCGAATTTAGACACATTTTGAAGAGACACCAAGACACCTCTTGGAAAACTATAAAAAGAGAGGCTTGGAACTTTTCGGGGGGCTGCTTCAAGTTTCTTGAAGTGTTTCTTTTAGATTCTTCTTTGATGTGATTTATGGGAGAAACTGTAAAACACCAATATCTACCTTTATTTTAGTTTTAGTTTTTAGTTTTTTAGAGTTAAGAGTGTTGTAAGAAGAGGAGAGATTCAAAGAAGCTTCAAGAGTTTGGTGGAGAATTTAAGATAAGTTTCTATCTTTTTGTTATTACATTTCGTTTTAATTGACAATTCTTGTTGGTTTGAAAATGATTTTTGCTTTTAAATTAAAGTGTGGTTTTGTTTTCTTTTTAAATTCTGAGTAGTTTTCTTTATCTTTTTCCTTAAAATGATATATAAATAAAGTATTGGATGGAAGTTGTGGAGAGTATTGATCTTTAATGTTGGAAGAAGTTGTGATGATTTAACTCCATGTACTTCATTTACTTCTTGATTTGGCCCATCAAGATGTTAAAATTTGTTGTGAGAACATGTAAGAATCGGGATGGTATTGTCTCAGTCAACAATTGGAAAAAATCACATGAGATTATATATGGATGAAAATGTAATTCATGATTGAGTGCAAATAAATAGAGAAATAATCTTTAAAGGGTGTAGAGTTAGAGGACTTTAAAGTGACAGGTTAAAGCCCCCAACTTGGTTTATTGTTTTAGGTTTTAATATGCGATGTTACCCCCAAGTGGAGAGAATCGAGAGAAGTCTAGAGTGAGAGCTGATATCTTCTTTGCCTAATCGGTCGTTAGAACTATTCAAACTTTAAATTAACTAATGTTCTTTATAACATCTCTAGTAAGGGTAAACAATAATATTGCTCCTATTTGGCACAGCATAATTTTGCCTACTTCCACAATATAATTCTTATATTTATTACTGATTCATGATAAGGAAAAAAAATATTTCATATTCAGTGCTTCTTATCTTAAAAAAACTCAAGTTATCTTTAGAAGTTGTTATTATATTGTCTAAATATCAAAAATACCAAAAAGAATTGAACTTTAATTACTCTTATAATATCTTTAGTTTAAATAATTATCTTTTTGAAATAGAAGTTTGTTACTTAATAATGCATATTGTGAACAATCCATGTGGGTTCGATATTCGGGGCTTAATCAAAAAGTTTTATATTACTTGATAACGATACATATACTTGTGTAGTATTCCAATATATATATATATAAATTAAAAAATAGAACTCTTATTTTCTTCAGGATAAAGTTATTTGTGTTGTTGCAAAGTATGAAAGATAAGTGAAGAATATAATCACATACATTCACATACATTGTCATACATTGTTATACTGTTGCATATAAACAGTCGGGATCAGTAATCCAAAGGGTCCCTAGGCCCCCCTAGGCTAAATATCTATAATACCATGTACAATCCATATTAAAGTAAGGTTATCTATTTAATTTTGTGTACCATGAATCTTATATTTATAAATAAGAGGCCATTTTGCAAATAATGGTTGCACGTTCTTAGCCAAAAAGGTCAGAAAAGGTCAATGTACTTGTTCAAATTTATTGTTCACTAGTGCTCATTAATACACTATATGCTCTGTTTCTTTCTCCCATTTTGCGCTCTTTTGCCTGAGTGTGACCCGGAT